GAGGGACAGGGACAGGGACCGGGATCGGGTGAAGGACAGGGATCGGGATTGGGATAAGGGACAGGGACCGGGATCGGGGTGAGGGGCCGAGATTGGGGTCAGCATGAGGGGTCGGGGCTGGCTGGGAGGAGGTGCAGCCCCGTTTCAGTGCCCGGGTCTGTCTGAGCTCAGCCATAGGGACCGGCAGTGGGGCCGGGCTGAGGGCTTAGGCCCAGTCCTGTTGTTGGGCTCAGCCCCAAGCCTGGCTGTGCAGCCTGGGCCTGGCTGTGGCACCGAGGGCTCTGCTGTGGGCCAGCCCTCACCAGGACAAGACAGAACAGGCAGGAACTGATGCCCAGGAAGTTCCACCTGAACATGAGGAAGAGCTTTTTTATACACCCTGGCACAGGGTGCCCCGAGAGGGTTTGGAGTCTCTCTCACTGGAGACTTCCAGAACTGTCTGGACACAATCCAGTGCCATGTGCTCTGGGATGACCCCAGTGGAGCAGGGAGGTGGGACCAGATGAGCCACTGTGGTCCCTTCCAGCCTCACCCATTCTGTGATTCTGTGATGTAGGGCTCGGATTTGGAGGGCTCACCCTCACAGGCCCTGATGTCACCAGCCTGGAGGCACCCGGCTGCAGTTCCCCATCGCAAACCCTCCCCAGTCACCGTATTTTAAGCATCTCCCCTTGGTAAATCTCTGGCATACAATGTGCTGGAGTGGTACATGCCCTCACAGGAGGGTCCCTCAATGGTTTTTCACAGGTTGCTTGTTTGGGGTTTTAACTCTTGGAACTGGCAGTGTCACTGGTGATATCTGTAAGTGCTCCCCTAGGCTTGGGAGTCCTTCCTCAGTGCCTTGTTGCCTTGAGTGTTTATTTGTTAGAGGCACTAAGGGGAAGGCACACACTCCCCTCCCTCCCACAAGCTCCTGGGAAACTGGGATGAGTCACCCGGGCGGGTGTCCCTGTCTGGCTCTGCTGGAGGCTCAGGATGGACAGGTCTGTCAGCTGGGCTGGGCAGGGTGTGCAAGGACTCTGCCTTGCTGAGTGTTTCCATTTCACAGAGCTGGAGCAGAAATCGAGTGGTACGTAACACCTTGCTGGCAAAGAACCACCAGGGCTGTTCCCTCTGTTTGGTTTAGAATAGAATTCCAGGATGGTTTAGGTTGGAAGGGACCTTAAAGCTCCTCCAGTGCCACCCCCTGCCATGGGCAGGGACACCTTCCACCAGCCCAGGTTGCTCCAAGTGCCGTCGAACCTGGCCTTGGACACTTCCAAGGGCTGGGGCAGCCACAGCTGCTCTGGGCACCCTGTGCCAGGGCCTGCCCACCCTCACAGGGATGAATTTCTTCCCAATAACCCATCTAACCCTGCCCTCTGGCAGTAGGAAGCCATTTCCCCTTGTCCTGTCACTCCAGGACCTTATAAATACTCTCTCCATCTTTCTTGTCAGCTCCTTCAGGTAATGAAAGGCCACAGTCAGGTCACTCTGAAGCCTTTTCTTCTCCAGGCTGAACAATCCCAGCTCTCCCAGCCTTTCCCCCTCTCAGAGCTGCTCCAACCTCTGATCTCTTGGTGCCTCCTCTGGACTCTCTCCAGCAGCTCCAAGTCCTCCCTGTGCTGTTCCCAGGGCTGGGGGCAGCTCTGCAGGGGGGTCCCACCCCAGGGGGCAGAGGGGCAGAACCCCCCTGGGATCAGCCCAGGGCACAGGGGGTTTCTGGCCTGTGAGCACACAGGGACAGGGCATGTTCAGCTTTTCATCCTCCAGCACCCCCAGGTCCTTCCCTGCAGGGCTGCTCTCCATCCCTTCTCCACCCAGGTGTGCCTGGGATTGCCCTGACCCAGCTGTAAGATTTTGCACTAGGCTCTGTTGAACATTGTGAGGTTTGCACAGACCCTGCCCCGTGCTGAGGTGATGAACAGCAGCCAAGTCCCACTGTGTCATTTCTGGAGAATGCCAAGCAATCCAAGTTGATCTTCCTTTTCCCTTGATAAATGCTGCCATGCAAACCACAGGAACGGAAGGGGAGGTGTGTGACCCTGTGGCACTTCTCAAGGGGTTGTTGTGAAGTTGTGACCCAGATGGCTGGGCTGTCTCAAGGCCTGTCCTGGTAACAGCCAAGTGCTCTGAGTGCATCTTAACTTGGGGAACGTGCAGCAGAACGTGGCTTTATCTTTAGTGGAGGTTGTATCTCAGTCACAGACTATACTGAGCTGGAAGGGACCCACAAGGACCAACCAGTCCAACCCCTGGCCCTGCACAGGACGCCCCAACAATCCCTTCATGTCCCTGAGAGCATTGTCCAAACACTGCTGGAGCTCTGGCAGCCTTGAGGCTGTGACACTGCCCTGGGGAGCCTGTTCAGTGCCAACCACCCTCTGGGGGAAGAACCTTTTCCTGAGATCCAACCTGAACCTGGCTGACACAGCTTCAGCCATTCCCTTGGGTAAATCATTCTGTTAAGCAGCTTTTGGTCACAAAAGGGTCAGAATGAGTTTCTCTATTGAATCAGGGTTTTTCATTCTCAGGGATCTTCAGAGATGTTTAAAAAGTGAAGTGTAGTGAATCTTACCCCAAAATTCACAATGGGAACTCAATCTGCCACTGCAGGAGCAGTGGAAAGGCCAGTGCTGTGCTTTGAAGTTCACTCATCTCCCATTTGCACTGAATTTCCAGCTTCAGAATAAAAAAATAAATTGTTCTTTCCATCAAAAAACTGACTTTCACTGGGGAAGGGCACAACTTTCTGATGCTCTGGGTTAAGTTTACACAATTCCTGACAAATCTAGCCCCTATAAATAACATGTCTCCCACCGCCTCTTACTCAGCCCTCACTGCACTGCAGGATTGCCCACACAGTGACACACCACATTTATTCCCTATTTAGCTGACAAACCATAGGGAGATTAAACCCTCTAGAAGCTTCCTGGCCAGTTCCTGTAACTTTTCCCTCTGCTTGCAGCCTGCAGGTGCAACGGCCACAGCGGCTTTCCCGGACGCAGCACTTGCTCAGCTCTGCTTCCCTCCGAGCACAGCCGCTCTCCCGTGGGCCAACATTGTCACCATGCACGTCACCAGGCCCAAATCAGCCAAGGGACGCAGAAGGCAAAGCTTCAGCCACCCTCAGGGAGTGGAAGCCTGTCCATGCCAAGTGCCTTCTTCCCCACTGGCAGCGTCTCCTCGGGCCTTAGCGAGCAGCCAGAGAGCACCACACACAAAACTGGTGTTCCCACCCACCCCAGTGTCTCCTGAGGAGGTCCCAGAGTTCCTGCAGCAAGTGCCTTTGAAGTCCTCGTCTTCCCTGAACAAGTACCGGGTGCTCCCCTCCATTGGCTGGAAGGGCATAGCGAGTGATGCCGTGGAAGCGCTGGCTCAACAGACCAGCCGGCTGGAAGTGAGTGAGGGGCAGGACACTCTGAAATTCAGCAAAACTCTGTCTGGAGAGCAGGGATCTGGCAGCATATTGTCAGGAAGAGATGTTCCTGCTGAGGAGAGCTCCCATGTGCACTGTCCCTCTGAGAAGTGGGGAAGGAAAATGAGGCAGGAGAGCCCTTC